GAAAACTAGAAAACCAAAAATAAATACATATATATCAAAGTAATAACCAACAAAATAAAAATAATTAAACTTAACATTTTGATTCTTGTTCCTCAAGAAGCCTGCGCTTCAAGGTGCATTTAAAAGATCTATTAGATTTCAACTGAAAAACATCTGAAAAGCAATTATAAATTGTAGGTGCTCTGTACGCAAAGCTACCACAAAATTTAGCAGATTTATGTTTGGGAATCGTCAACAACTTCGTTTGTCTTAGATTAACATTATGTATTTGCGATCTTGGTACTAAGATACAATATAAATAATAAGGCAATTTGTAAAATATTACATTGTATAACATAACAGCTAGCAAGAGTGTACATCTAGGTTTCATTTTTAAGATAGAATATCTTATGTAATAGGGGGTAACATGTTCTCTACGATCAAAAGCACAACATGTGATGTTGTGTGAGTTGTGGTTCTTTAAAACAGCTGCCTTTTTTGCTTGGTAATGTTTTTTGCTATATTCCCTCCATTTTTTCCTTTTACGTCTTTTATCTCAATCTATTAACTGCGATATCTTTTTTAGCAACTTCATAAACCTCAGGATCTTTTTTTCGTTGCGCTCTCAGTCTTCTCATACCATCTCTCTTCTTTTGATTGCATATTTTCTTTTTCTTATCTCTTTGCCTTATCTCTAGTTTTCACCATCTAGCACAAAAGAATAATAAAACGTAGAATCAGACGATCCCTTTCTCTTCCATCTCTTCCTCCAACCTCTGTAGCAGCACCTTCGCATATATCTTGTACGCCGAGTCCATTAAGCTAATTCTCCTATAACTTTCCACTACTCCCTTCACTCCCTTCTTATACAAGGGGCTTATTATCGCCGTCCTCCATCCATTCGGAAACCCTTCCCCTTCCCAAACTTTGTTCAGCGCTTCCAACAACTTTCCCCTCACTTCTCCCGTTGCCTCCAGCCATGCCTCATTCTGGACCCCGTCCTCCCCTGGAGCCTTCCCCCTCTATAGTCCCCCCAACGCCGCCTCCATTTGTTCCCCGGCCATCTCCTCTCCTCTCCGCCCCCCTGTATCTACCTCCTCTACCCGCCTCTCCTCTTCCCCCTCCAGCAGACCCTTGAAGTAATCTCTCCACTCCGTCATTTGTATTTCACTGGTTATTTCCTCTCGTACTTTCCTTATTTTGTTTATATATTTCCAAACTTCACCCTCTTGTCTCACCCCTCTGATCTCTTCCGCCTCCCTCTCCCTCACTTCTTTCATTTTTCTTTTGCATATTTCTTTATATCCCCTCAATGCTTCCCTATATTCTTCCGCCCCCACCAACCTTCTCCGCCACTGTCTCAACTTCCTTCTCGCCTCTCTCTTCGCCCCCATGCACTCACCATCCCACCATTCGTTCCTGCCTAGCTTTGCACTGCCCCCTCGTACGTACTCTTTCTTCAATATCGCTTCCCCCACCACCCGCACCAGCTCGTCCACCCCCCTAGACATCTCCACTCTCCGTCGCCACCCCTCTAACTTTTCCCTAAAGTGTTCTATCCCTCTTTCCGACCAGTCAGCCCTTATACTTTTTCTTTCCCGATTCAAACTCCCTCTCCCCCACGCGCCCCTTAGTACCAATTCCAGCGGTTGGTGATCCGATTCTACTGATTCTCCCACCCTGAAGCTTTCCACCCTATCCCACATCTCTTGGTCCACCACCACGTAATCAATTACCGACGCCCCCCTTGCCCCTGTATATGTGTACTCCCCTTCTTCTCCCTCCTCCTTATTGCCGTTCAGTATCTCCCATCCGTTCTTCTCCACCCACTGCAGCAATTCTCTTCCTTCCCCATTCTGCACCTTATCCTTCGACCCTCGACCCCTCTCCTCTCCCCATGTCCCCAGCCTTCCTCCCCCTTCCCCCACTCTCGCGTTGAAGTCTCTTCCCATTATTATATAACGACGTTACTTTTTTCCAAGCTAAATTTTTCTTTTGCAAAACTACCCAATGCCGAGTTTCGTAACTATAGTTACTGCATTCATATATTAGGAGTTATATGAAATTCCCAATATAATTTATATTAATATTTAACCCTACAGTGAATATGTTGGGCCTGACAGGCCTATGCCTTATGTGTTTTGCTGTAGCACTTTAATCACATATTCTCTGTAGGGTTAATATAAATTAATTTTTTTTAGAACAAAAACGATTAAAAGAGGATGAATATCCGCTTCTTACAAGAGTTTTATTGGGGCCCCATGAAGATGTAGCAAGATTATTTTTGATGGATGGTCATAGTACTCCAGAAGTGAGTTGTGAAGTTGCTCAATTTTTAAATTTGAGCTTAGCTGAATGCCGGGCAATCTTAAAACAATATCAAACGCAAGAAGAAAGAGAAGTCGCTCGTATTAGAGATAAGTAATATTTTTTATAAACAAAAACCCAACAATTTTTAAATTTGTTACTTCTTTTTAGGTTTATCGAAATGAAACGTCGAATAAAACAACGTATGGAAGATCTGAAAGTGAGACTTTAAATAAAATCGACTTAATAACTCGGAATAAGAAACCTGCATTAATAATATATAATCTCTTATTACATGAATTTCATTTTTATTATAAGCTTTGAAAGCAAAGAGAACTCGTAACCTCAAAACTCGATGATCAAAGTGATACACTTATACTTTTTATATATCATGCTAACATATGTATTTAATGTAATTTTTTTTTCTTTATATCAATATAATCATATACTCAAAGTAAAAACAATAAAAATATTATAACCTAATAATTTATTTATTATTTATTCACACTACTGGAAACATTAAATCTTAAAATTCACTTATTCAGCGGGTTTTGCTGGGGGGGCGTAATTTAAGTTCAAGAAACCAGCAGCACGAGCGAAAATAATCGTCCCAACAAGAAATCCAACTCCAAAAATCAAGTGCATGTTGTATTTTCTTTGCATAGCATCATGATGGGTTTTCCAGCTTCCCTGTGGTGATGGCAAATCGTTATATGAGGCTTTTATCTCATTACCGGAATAATTTCGTTTCGAAACTGTAAAAAAATTTATTCATATTAAAGGTTACATAAGCATGATTGAGGTTATGTTACATCAACAAAAACTTTGTTGACGATTCGTTGAATATAACGAAAATGAATTTACTTACCGTGTCTCCGGATAATATGGGCGAATAATCGGTTCGATTGCATTTTAGAGAGTTAATATTTTTGCTCAATTATAAATTTTAAGGTGATATTGCGAATGACAGGACTTACGTCTATTTCACTCACGTAACGGGGAATAAGATGGCGGCAGAATTGCCAACATTTAAAAAGTCCCTAAATCGACTTTTTAGTTAATTATAAAATTTTATATTTAATTAATAATTTGTTAAAATAATATACAGAAAAAAGAAATTAATAAGTTATATTTTTATTTAATTTTTAATAATAAATCGGAGTAACATTTTATTTTGTCAACATCTAAAACGAGGTATAACCTAAAAATTTTTAAACATAACCTCAAATACGCAACAAATTCTTTTAGAAATGAAAAAATCAGAAAAAAATGTTGAAAATACCGTTAAAGGTGTCCGAACGAGTGTCCACAAGCGAAAACATCACACTCGACAAAAAGCGATTCAATTCGCGGCGGAGGAAGCGGCAAAGGGAGAAATCTTACTTACGGAATCCGGTGGTTTCTTAGAACCAGATGATGGGGAAACGTCCCTACAATTTAATCAGACTGATATCAAAGCTAACGTAGACATAGCTTCAGCTGCTAAAAGTTTTGAATTAAAACTTGAAAATTTTGGGCCTTATCGATGTCGATACACCCGAAATGGGCGACACTTGTTATTAGGAGGGAAAATTGGGCATGTTGCAGCCTTGGATTGGGTAACAAAAAAGTTACATTGTGAATTAAATGTTATGGAATCAGTACACGATGTTTGTTGGTTACATCTTGAAACTATGTTTGCCGTTGCACAAAAACAGTGGGTTTATATTTACGATCACCAAGGAATTGAGTTGCATTGCGTTAAGAGGTTAAATAGAGTTAGTAAAATGGAGTTTTTACCTTATCATTTCTTGTTAGCCACTGCAGTAAGATTTTTGATTGAGTTAATTATTTTTTTGATTAATTTAGTATTGTTTTAGGGTGAAACTGGTTATTTATCATGGTTGGATATATCAATAGGTGAAATAGCCGGACAATTTAATACCAGATTAGGACCTTTAAATCTCCTTTCTCAAAATCCCTACAATGCATGTTTATGTGTTGGCCATGCTAAAGGAGTTGTATCAATGTGGTCACCTACAGTTCGAGAACCTCTAGCAAAGATTCTTTGTCATAAAGCTCCCATGACAGCTCTTCATGTTGATCCAAGAGGTCAACATTTAGTAACAGCAGCTGTTGATCGAACTGTTAAAGTTTGGGATGTAAGAAAACTTGTGGGTCCTTTACAATCGTACCATTTTAATAGTGTAGTTGGAAACGTTGCGTTTTCCCAAAAAGATCTTTTAGCTGTCAGTATGGGAAATGTTGTTGAAATTTTTAATGATTGCATATACAACACACAAAAAAAGCCTTATCTTCGTCATCGCTTTTCATCTCACATTTCCAACATTAATTTTGTACCTTATGAAGATGTTTTGGGGGTAGGCGTAAAGCACGGATTCGCGAGCCTTTTAGTTCCAGGTTGTGGCGAACCTAATTTTGACGCTCACGAAGCCAATCCATATCAAACGAAAACGCAGAGACGCGAAGCCGAGGTTAAAGCTTTACTTGAAAAAATCCAACCAGATCTAATTACTTTAGATCCAACTAAAATAGCGCAAGTGGATACAGTTACATTAAGGGATAAAATTGAAGCAAAGAAGAAGTTATTGGTAAGTTTCAACAAATAAAAATGATTTAAATTATTTTTTTTATTTTAAAAGCATGTAAAAGCCCCAAAAATAAGTTATGAAGGCAAAAATAAAATGAAAGGACGTGGTGGGGTAGCCAAAATGGCACGTAATAAAAAAATTGTTAATGAACTTGCTAAAAAGGTGAGTAAATTGTTTAATTTGATTTTGGGTTATTTATTGTTGAATTTTTTGTAGGAATTTGTGAAGAAAGTGAAAGCTTTGAAAGAAAGTGGAGGAAAAAATAAGATTTTAAAAGCAACGAAACCTGCAAGTGCTTTGGATCGATTCTTACCTAAAAAATAAACTTATTTTAATAATTATTATTAAATAAACTGATTGAAACAATAATTATTTTTTAATAATTTATTTTTAGCGCCATCTAGCGGCGAATAGTTGTAAGTAATAGAGAAATTTACAGTAACCTACAATTCGAGTTCAAAATGCTATGATTTTATTTTGATTTTATTAATACTAATTATTATATTATTTTGTAATAAAATCGTGAGATTAAAGGTAATATCATGAGGTCTCACGATTTAGCGAGTTATCCTGGCAACTTCGCTCTTGAGAGACAGATATCACTATGTTGCATATTTTTATTGCACTAAAACTAGAACTAACACTAGAACTAGAACTAGAAAGTATCTACAGATAGTTTTACACTATGACTAGAACTAACACAAGACCAAGAACTAGAATCATTCGGATTTTTTTTATTTTAAAAGCATGTAAAAGCCCCGAAAATAAGTTATGAAGGCAAAAATAAAATGAAAGGACGTGGTGGGGTAGCCAAAATGGCACGTAATAAAAAAATTGTTAATGAACTTGCTAAAAAGGTGAGTAAATTGTTTAATTTGATTTTGGGTTATTTATTGTTGAATTTTTTGTAGGAATTTGTGAAGAAAGTGAAAGCTTTGAAAGAAAGTGGAGGAAAAAATAAGATTTTAAAAGCAACGAAACCTGCAAGTGCTTTGGATCGATTCTTAGCTAAAAAATAAACTTATTTTAATAATTATTATTAAATAAACTGATTGAAACAATAATTATTTTTTAATAATTTATTTTTAGCGCCATCTAGCGACGAATAGTTGTAAGTAATAGAGAAATTTACAGTAACCTACAATTCGAGTTCAAAATGCTATGATTTTATCTTGATTTTATTAACACTAATTATTATATTATTTTGTAATAAAATGGTGAGATTAAAGGTAATATCATGAGGTCCCACGATTTAGCGAGTTATCCTGGCAACTTCGCTCTTGAGAGACGTTATAGACACACATATCACTATGTTGCATATTTTTATTGCACTAAAACTAGAACTAACACTAGACCTAGAACTAGAAAGTATCTACAGATAGTTTTACACTATGACTAGAACTAACACAAGACCAAGAACTAGAATCATTCGGATTTATTATTTTAAAAGCATGTAATAACCCCGAAAATAAGTTATGAAGGCAAAAATAAAATGAAAGGACGTGGTGGGGTAGCTAAAATGGCACGTAATAAAAAAATTGTTAATGAACTTGCTAAAAAGGTGAGTAAATTGTTTAATTTGATTTTGGGGTATTTATTGTTGATTTTTTTGTAGGAATTTGTGAAGAAAGTGAAAGCTTTGAAAGAAAGTGGAGGGAAAAATAAGATTTTAAAAGCAACGAAACCTGCAAGTGCTTTGGATCGATTCTTACCTAAAAAATAAACTTATTTTAATAATTATTATTAAATAAACTGATTGAAACAATAATTATTTTTTAATAATTTATTTTTAGCGCCATCTAGCGGCGAATAGTTGTAAGTAATAGAGAAATTTACAGTAACCTACAATTCGAGTTAAAAATGCTATGATTTTATTAACACTAATTATTATATTATTTTGTAATAAAATCGTGAGATTAAAGGTAATATCATGAGGTCTCACGATTTAGCGAGTTATCCTGGCAACTTCGCTCTTGAGAGACAGATATCACTATGTTGCATATTTTTATTGCACTAAAACTAGAACTAACACTAGAACTAGCAACCGATACTTTCACGTAATAAAAAAATTCTTAATGAACTTGCTAGAAAGGTAAGTAAATTGTTTAATTGGATTTTGGGTTATTTATTGTTGAATTTTTTGTAGGAATTTGTGAAGAAAATGAAAGCTTTGGAGGAAAGCGAAGGGAAAAATAAGATTTTAGAGCAACGAAACTTGAAATAAATTTATTTTAATAATAATTATTAAATAAACAAATTGAAAAAATAATTATTTTTGAATACTAATTTATAAGTAAAAATTTAATGACAGTTAAAAAAATTACTTTTATATCACAAGAGATGGCGCTACACCCACTAAAATTATAACTTTATTTTTAGCTGTACAATAATTTATTTACATTTCATAGTTTGATAAGTCCTCATTCTATACAAAACAACACTTAAAAATAAATTATCATGTTTATTTTAACTTTATTATCTTTAAAACCGTTGATGACAATTAAAATCACGTGACCAACTTAAACCAATAAAATTCCCTGATGATTTATTGTTAGTTGTTGACTCATCTGTCAAAAGACGTTAACTCCCTGAAGTGGTCCCGTAGAAGTGATCGTTGTAAACGAAATACGTGTTTTAATTTTGTTCTTGAAAAATGACGGATCTTTTATCGATACCGTTAAAGAAGCCTTCAGAAGTAGATGTGGTAAAACCGTTAAAGAATTTGATACAGTCGAGGTACAGTACGGCCGATAAACCTCAAGATTACAGCGAGGCTATTAACGAATTCGCAAAATTACGCACAACGGGGATATGGAAGGCGTTTGAAAAATACGAGAGTTCATTAGAGGTGGTTTATAGGTAAAAAAAATCGTTAAATTATTAATCAGTTTTTAACATAAAAGAAATTTCAAGTTATTATGATCAATTGGTTGCCTTGGAACAAAAAATTCCACCCCAGGAGGTCCAGATTCCATTCAAATGGAAGGACGCTTTCGATAAGGGTTCTATTTTTGGGTCTCGATCCAGTTTAAGTAAATAATCAAAAAATATTTTTAATTTTTTATTAATCAACTCATTTTTTTTAGCAATTCCATCATTAAGTTTCGAAAAACTTTGTGTTTTATTTAATATTTCCGCTTTGCAAAGTAATGTAGCTGCTGCACAAAACTTGGATAATGACGACGGTTTAAAATTAGCTGCAAAATTACTTCAACAAGCCGCTGGGAATTTCGATCATTTAAAAAGTACAGTTATGTTAAATATCCAACAAGAACCCACTTCTGATTTATTACCGGATACTTTACAAGCTTTATCTGGATTAATGTTAGCTCAAGCGCAAGAAATTTTTGTCCACAAAGCTATACATGGTAAATAAATTAAGATTATATAAAAAGAATTTACAATTTATTTTTTATTAATTTAGATTCAATGAAAGATGCTGTAACTGCAAAATTGGCTCAACAATGTGATGAATTATACGCTGATTGTTTAAAAGTGTTTCAAAGAGATAATTTAAAGGGAATTTGGGATAAAGATTGGATTCCAACGGTAATATTATCAAATTAATTTTATTTCGTTAAAATAGTTATTTTTAGATTGCTGGAAAACAAGCTGTTATGCGTGGTTTAGCTACTTTTTATCAAAGTTTAGTGTGTAAAGCAAATAAAGCTGTTGGTCAAGAAATTGCTTGGTTACAAGTTAGCTATTTAATATTTAACTTTATTAAATTTAATCCCCCTCATTTTTTAGCATTCTGTTGAATCGTTTAAAGCAAGTCAAGAACGTTCCGGGAAGCAATTCTTCCAAGACGTCTATGTAAAAGTTCAGAGAAACTTAGCGGAAGCTCACAAAGATAATAATTTCATTTATCACGAACGTATCCCGGACGTGAAGTCTTTAGATCCCATTGGAAAAGCTGTTCTAGCTAAAATTATTCCTGTTAGTTACCCAATGAGCCAACATTTTAAAGATTTATTTTCCGAATTAGTCCCGGTCGTTGTTCATCAAGCTTTAGCCGCTTATGATTTACGCAAATCGGAGATTGTAAGCAGTGAAATTTCGAAATTGCGGGAATCAACGCAGGTTTTAAATAGCGCATTAGCTTCGTTAAATCTTCCTGCAGCTATTGAGGTGACTTCCGGCGGAGGATTACCACCAAGTTTAATTGAAAAGGCTGATAGTGTGAAACAGGATGGTGGTATTGTCGCTTTACAACAATTAATTAGCGATTTACCGGATTTGTTGAAAAGAAATGAAGATATTTTAGATGAGGTAAGCAAATTTACAAAAAATTCAAGAATCATGTATTAAATCGACGATTATTTTATTCAATGTGAAATGACCCAAAAAAACACATTAAAAATAAAAAGAAAGTGCGGAAAAGCGTAGAACATACCGAAAATGACATTAAAGTTTCGATGTGACGTCACGTTTTGTGACGTCACAAGCGATGTTAACCATGCATTTTCGTATTAAACCGGTTAACACCTAACCAATAAATTATTTATTTTATGGCCACACACAAAATCAATCTGATAAACTTAAAAGTAGACTATCCGTGTAAAAATTCAACGCCCCCCCTCACTTTAGAGATCGATATCTTCGAAACCGCTCGATGGAAAAAATTGCGGTAAAGTTTATTGTAATCAGTGAACATTTCTGCGTATCACATGTTAATTTGGAAATTTTCAGGACCGATTTTCGGGATTTCTTTTATCGCGAGTTAAGTGAAAAAAGTAAACGATTTTTGAGAGTGCCAGCAACTTTGTCTACTTTACGATTTTTTTTCTCCAAAACTATTTGACGACAAAATTTTAAATTTGAACTGGTGGTAAACCGATGTGTTCTTAATGTGGGGCATATTTTATTTTTTCGATATTCCATATAATTTCCCGGAAAATCGCAGTTTAGTAGAATGCGGTTATTTCGCAAACGACCTGGCGGATTTTAACGCGGTTTTTACCAAAATATGTGAAATAATTTCGGTTGTCGGATTCCGCTTTATCAGAGCGATTTTTTGGAATTACAAATTAAAGAGAAACAGAACTAAGCTATGCGGGGAGAGGAGGGTTCCGTCCAATCGGAACAGATGGTGTGCCCCAGACAGTACGTCGCGCCTTTATCTTACCTACATAAAGAAATAAGGCGCGACGTCCTGTCTGGGACGCACCATAATAAAAATGGTGCGTCCCAGTCAATTTTTTGACATTTAAAGCTGTCAACGACGTTATTTCGGCGACTACTTTGATTGTAATTTGTTGATTTCATATTTTCAGAGAACATTTATTATAAATTTATTATACTTGTTGTTGATTAATAGTATAGTTTAATTATTTTTTTATATGTATAGTCTTCTCCTACAATCTGCAGTCTTCTGCAACCAGTATCTAGTCTTTCTTTCTTTTTTTTTAGTCTCTGCTGTCCGTATTTGTTCTTCTCTAGCAGTGAGCAATCTTTTGTAGCCCGTATCCAGCGTTGTCTTAGCATTGTCAAGTCATCTACCAGTGATATATTGTCTTCTTCAACAATCTGTAGTTTTCTGCAAACGGTATCTAGTCTTTCAGAGACAGTATGTATTCCTTTACCAACAGTATGTAGTCCTCTGCTGCCAGTATTTGTTCTCCAATAATAAACAGTCTTATAAACCAGTATGCAGTCTTCTATTAGCATTGCCTAGTCCTCCACAAGTGGTATATAGTCTTCTCCAACAATCTGTAACCTTCTATAAGCAGTATTTAGTCTTCCAGGAACAGTATACATTTCTCTGCCAATAGTATGCAGTCCTCTGCAAGCAGTATTTGTTCTTCTCCTGTAATAAGCAGTCTTATAAACCAGTATGCAGTCTTCTATTAGCAATGCCTAGTCCTCCATAAGTGATATACAGGGTGTTTCTAAATTGATGCGAAAGATTTCAAGGATTTTTCAGCAAAAATCTTTCATATAACTTTTTGTTCAAATCCCTTCTCCACCGAATTACAGCCCTCTAAAGTTAAGGAAAAAAATGTTTTTGTTTAATACATCCACTATGGAGGAATTTAGAAGAATGAAATTTGGTAGATAACTGTTGCTAATGAAATGACACCTTTTACAAGAGGCTGAAAATATTNTTTAATTTTTTACTTAAGACATCCCTATGGGCATACAAGAGACGCAGGGCGCCATACCCACCCCTCAAGCACCTGGCCACATGCTCCTCAAACCTCAACTGATGATCCAATGTGACTCCTAAAATTTTTATATCATCAGAAACAGTAAGAGGTTCGCCATCCACCACCAATTGACCGGATATCAAAGGCTTAATCGCTCTCCTTGTGACACTACCGCAAAACAGAAGAACAGAAGACTTAAATGGATTTAGCACAAGTTCATGGCGTTTCGCAACATCAGAAAATAATGCTATATCTGAGTTAAATTTTATGCAGGCATCAACCCAATTATTTGGATTAAAATTCAGCAGAAGCTGTGTATCGTCTGCATACAAGTGAATCTGCGAATGCTCGAGAACCTGGTCAAAATCAGATGTATAAATAGAGAACAATAGTGGCCCCAAAATGGACCCCTGAGGGACTCCACGAGTAACAGACAGAGCACTCGACACTTGACTATTAATCTTCACAACCTGAGATCTGTCCGACAAAAATGACTTTATCAAAATTGCAGCTTGATTTCCAAGACCAAAATAATTAAGTTTAGATGCAAGTATATTATGATTTATTGTATCAAATGCTTTGGTGAAGTCCAACGATAACAAAAGTGCGGCTTGCCCGGCTTCTCTAGAAGCAAATACATCATCAGTAAAGTTCAATAAAGCTGTTGCGCAGCTGAAACCCGAACGAAACCCAGATTGTTGATCTGGCAGTATCGCTCTTAAAAAATTAGGGAGGTCTAATTTTGAAAAACTGATAACGGAATCCGACATTATTTGACATATTTTGGTCAAATCCGTGAGGAAATCCACCTAGCCATTTTCGACATAACAGCGTCTTACTAAACCGCGATTTTCCGCGAAACTGTATGGAATATCGAAAAATAAAATATGCCTCTCATTAAGAACACATCACCTGTTAAAAATTCAACTTTTTTTGTACAATAGTTTTTGAGAAAAAATTGCAAAGTTGACAATGTTGCCGGTACCGTAAAAAATCGGGTACTTTTTCCATTCGACTCACGATAAAAAGAAAACCGTGTATCCGAAAATTTTCAAATTAATATATGTTACGTAGAAATGTTCAGTGATTACAACGAACTTTGTCGCAATTTTTTTTATCGAGCGGTTGCGAAGATATCGATCTCTAAATTGAGGGGCCTTGACTTTTTGCACGGATAGTAGGTAAGATTACAACGTATATACAGATGAAACACCTGGTTTTTCTTAGGCTTTCGATGCATAACGACTGACTACCTGTCGTTAGATAGACTGTATCAATAGACTCTGTGTTAATACTAGAACTAACACTAGACCGAAAACTAGAAACATTTGGATTTAGTCGCACGTCACTCAAGACGGCTAAACCCGAATGATTCTAGTTCTAGGTCTAGTGTTAGTTCTAGTTTTATACTAGCACTGTCATTAGACCTAGAATTAGAACTAGAAAGTATCGTCTGAAGACGCACAGCTAAACTGGTTTAAATGTTATTTAACCTAACTCAAAATGGAATTTCTACACAAAATTCTGAAATAAATCAGTAAATAGGTGGATCCGAATGTAACGTTTAAAGCGGGGAGTAGATTTTAGGTTATCTTTAGTTTATAGATTGTAAACAATAACATTTTATTAAATAAAAGAAACACTTGTGCACTTTGACAATGGATAAATTTATTGATGATCTGCTTTTACCGGTTTCGCCTGAAAGGCATCATCAGAAAGCATTGTCGCTATTCAAATACATAAAAGAATCGTAACATTACTTAAGGATAAGTTCGAAAACAAACTAAAACACCACTAAAATTATCAATGAAACAAATATGAAGTCAAATCAACCCTAACAATGTTTTTCGAAAACTGCTATTAAAAGTTGACTTTTGCGTAGTACTTAGCGACCGTCAAAACGATAGTTTTTTGTCAACAGGACGTAAAAGTCTTTTTTGTAATTCGCTACGGTAATGGAAGCTATAACAGTACTCAAACGGGTGCTGTAATGAGACTCCTTACAGCATCCGATGCTGTAATGAGATTTTAGTAACATTTTATGGAACCAGTTCAAGTTGGTGACATTGGGTCATTAATTTTTCTAGTTGTCAATGTGACAATTTTTGTCTATGGATGTTTAAACACGTTCTTAGCATCGAATACAAGGTCCACATTGATGAGGACATTGAACATTGAGAAATTTCTCTTATTTTGGGAGGTGTACATGAAACATTTTTGTCAGGTGAATACATTTTGTGTTTTGACAGTTTCTAATTGTCAATTCAAATTTCTATTTTCAAGTGTTACGGTGTTACCAACTGCTGCATACCTATTTCCCTACATTGACAAAATTTATTTTATTTTTGTTAAAAAAAAAGCATAAAAACGCGAATTACAAAAAATAGCATAAAAAACACGTTTCATAAGACTTAAAGCACTCATTCATTAAAAAACTCGTGGCTTCGCCACTCGTTTTTCAACTTGAATTCGTGCATTTCAAATGTGTCTTACGAAACTTGTTTTTTAATATGCTATTACGTCCAGCTACGACAATCAAAGAATTTGATACTATTAATTGTTAATTTATTGTTATGAACAAATTATAAACACAAAATAATCAACATTTAATTGTTTTAACATTTCATTTCATGTTTAAATGCAAATTTATAATAGTACATTTGTTCAATGTGTGAGGTTAAATCGATGTGACGTTAAGTTTTTGACATAACATTAAATGAATTCTAAGTGTCATTAATGTCATTATACAGAATTTGGGCTTTTTATTAATTTATAACTTTAGAATACGCAGTTTTCGAAGAAATGTTGTTTGATACATGACAGCGAAATTCTTTTGCATTCTCGAACGACTTTTTTTATATATCTTGTATCAAAAATAACTATTGTCGCACTTGGACGTCAAGGTTCTGTATAACAATTGTCAAAGTGCACAAGTGTTTCTTTTATTTAATCATACTACAATGGAAAGACAAGAAAATATTAACAATATTAACGATATTTTAGTCGTTGTGCGTCGAAGACCTAAGAAATAACAGTATTCCTCCGAATATATACGTTTTAACCAAATGTACTACGAAAATATATGGTTAGCACGGTCGATGACGTCACAAGAAGTCACATCGAAACTTTGAAGTCATTATTGGTTAAGTTTTACACTTTTCCGCACTTTTTTTATTATTTCTAATCAAATTATTTCTACTCTATTCTTGAGTGATTTTCCGTCGATTAAAAAAGATTCTTGAATTATACCCAAATTTTTGAGGTTATGTTTAATTTATTTTTTGAATAATTTATATTTTCTTACGTTCAGTCTGATAGGATGTTAAATGAAGAGAAGCAATCTGACGATGCTTTAAGGGCGCAATTTAAGGATCGGTGGAATAGAACTCCTTCAGAAAAACTGACTGATATGTTCCGATCAAATTCCGCTAAGTATCGACAAATTATTAACAATGCTATTGATGTAAGTATTTATACAGGGTGAGTTATTAGTATTCTGGCGGACGAAAAATGACATTTATTACACATTTTTCTTTAAATTCTAAATATCAAGAGAACTATTTAAGTTAAGCATATGACGTACGTATCATTAATTAAAAGGAACTTGATGGGCAATTCAACCAGCACACAATATACAGGTATACAGGTTCCATTTAAAAAAATTATGTACTCTTCGTTACGCTTAAATGGAACACTTTGTATAAGTGAAAATAATTTTACGTAACAGAAGGTGGTGAGTCAAACAACTTTTGTATAAAACATTTTTTTCTTTTTCATACAGTTTAGTAACTCGACCGCCAGGATACTAATAATTCACCCTGTATATTAATTTTGTGCTATACAGGTGTCCCACGTAAGCGGCCAAGTAATGGCGTTAAGGAGTGAGATACACAGTTGTTCCTCACACAAAAGTTGTAGGAAATATACCACACTATAAACAGAAAATATTTTTATACTTGCAGGGTGTTCCATAACGACGTACCGAATTAAACATGTTATTTTAAATGGAATGACACAGTTTTTATTGTGTGTTCTGATTCTATACACAAAAATATATTGACTTTGATAAGATATGTTGAAACCTAGTGCCTTTAGTTTTTGAGTTATTTTGATTAGAAACTTTTTTTTAACAATTAACACTGTCCTTTAAATCTGAATTTCTTGGCGGCTGATCGAAGAAGAATGTTAAAATTTGTAACAGTAGGTGCTTGAATATCCTTAAATAGAGCACCACTGGCTATATCAGTCTACCTTATACAGGTTTAACCTTACTTGTTTTACCATATTCAATTGCAAAAATGTCGAAAATTTTAAATGGAACACCCCATATTTGATTAGCTTATCAGATAGAGAATTTAATTCTCTACAAATCTTCAATATATATCCCTATACCTATCTGTTGCTGTTGTTGAGATAGTGGAATAGACAACCTAAACCTTGACGTCACAGAGATGGGCGGAGCTTATACTGACTCCAAACATCTTCGTTGCTAACGATAAATCCCTATATGCAATTTTTCAATTAATGTCAAAATAAAATAGACTAAGTGACATTTTAGATGACATTTTAAATGACATTTTATGGCAATTTATCTTAGCAACTGTGGTTATCAACGAAATTGTTTGGAGTCGGTATAAGCTCCGCCCACCTCTGTGACGTCAGACAGATTTTATTAATTTTTTTATTAGTAGGCCATGAAATATAGACGTTTGACAGCTTTCAAGTGCTTTGATTTGATTCAAATTACAAAAAAACAAATTAATGGTATAACCAAGTAGTACATAAACCCAAGGATAATCATTAATCATAATATATCTCCATCGAGTGGCGCTGCACCCTGATACTCAAAGCCATATTTTTGAGGTTATCTTAATAATTGTTGATTATATATAAAAATGTTTCAAATAATATTTGTTTAAAATTAAATTTATAATTATTTTTATTAATAACATTCTTTTAAAATATTTATAGGGCGCGCTCTGTACTGGTATCAAAAACAATATTTTTGAGGTTATCTCAATAATTATTAATTCTATCAAAAAGTTTTTCAAACAAAATTTGCTTAAAATTAAGTTGCCAACAATTTATCTTGATACAATTTTTTCGTATTTTTAATAGGTAACCCTCTATACTAGTATACCATTTTGATTTCCCTATAAACAGTACGCAAATTTATTACATATTTAGCGATAATCATTGCATTTATCAAAAAATTATATGTATACTTTGCAGCTTATGTGGGACATCTATAAATAAACTATAAATTTAAAAATTACTTCAAATTCATCTTAATATCAACTTATTTTTCAGGCTGATAAAATAGTAAGAGAAAAATTTGAAACAAATAAAGAAGGTATTATAAATTTAAGTAAATCTACGAGTGAATTAGAATCGATTGTCCCCTCTGGAAATGGAAATTCAATCGGAAATAGTTCCGCTGTTAGTACTTTACGAGAATTAATGCAGGAAGTGGATACAATTAAAGCCGAAAGGGATACAATTGAATATGAACTAACAAACGCGACATTAGATATGAAAGATAAATTTATGTCCTCATTAGCGAACGATGGGGCAGTAAACGAGCCGGTTCTTTCAGTTGAGATGTTAGGAAAAACGTTTGGACCTTTGCAAAAACAAGTTAAAGAAAGCGTTGAAAAACAAGAATTGCTTTTAGAAAAGATTCAATCGGCAAACAACGAATTTGTTCGAGAAAGGGGTTCAACATCTGGAGACCGTGAAAGAATCATGTCTCAATTAGCTGCGGGATATGATGCGTTTAAAGAAATTCAAAATAATTTAAAAGAAGGGACTAAATTTTATAATGATTTAACTCAAATTTTATTGGCCGCTCAAAATAAGATTTCCGATTATTGTTTTGCTCGGAAAACGGAAAAGGAGGAGTTATTAAAAGATTTAACTCAAGAAAGAAGCAGACAAGGTCCCGCTGTTACTCCGCAACAACCGAGTTACCATGGTACACTTCCTCCACAACCAACACCTTCAACACCATCTCCAGCTCCCTCTTCGGTGCCTCCAAATCCAGTTCCTTCGAATTTACCTTATCCGGTTTATGTTCAAGGAATGCCTATTCCATATGGGGCTTCAAGTTCAGCTCCTTATCCATCGTATGCAGCTCCAGCACCTATGCCTTCGAGTTATAATCCATATGGAACTATGCCATATCCAGGTATTTGATAATTTAGAAACAACATTTTTTTGTTATAATTAATTTTTTTTAGCTTCTTATAATTACGGTGGTGGTTTTCCGGGTTATCCTCAACAACAACAGCAACAACAAGGGGGTTTCCCTCAAGGATATCCTCAACAACCTCCCCCTCAAGGCGGCTATCAACAGCAACCACCAAATTCTGGGTGGTAAATGACATGTTAAAAATTAATTAAAAATGGAATTATGGAGATTTATTGATAAAGTAATTTTATTGTTAAATTTAGTTGTTAATTAATTATATCAGATAAGAAAAGTGATAGATTTTAAAGATTCTTTTTTAAATTTATTAATACCAATTAATTTAGAAAACTAACTATGTTATATTTGCAAATTTTTGTATTTCAAATTAAGAAAGGATATTCTTATATGCCTTTTTATGTATAACCGTGCTGAATAAAGTAGATCTTAATTTTTAACTCAAATTAAACTTTTTTTATATAACATAACCTCAATTTTAATTGATCACATCCTTAATTTGATTGTAAAATCTTGCGTAACCTTACAAATGAGGATATTACATCATTTTTTCTAGAATTTCTTTTATAAATAAAACTGCATAAGAAAATAAAAATAAAAAAATTAGACGTTTATGAACACCTGTGAAATGAATTCGTATTATTTTAAATTACTTTTAAAAGAAAGTTACTTGTTATTTATATTTAACCTTGTAAAGGAATTAGAAATGACGCAATTTTTCTTAGATACTCAATTTCTTTTACAGAAAAATAGAAAAATCATTTCATAAATATTATCATGTGTCAATAGAACCTTTATTTTTTTTTGACAGATTTGTAATTCCATTTGACGTTTATAAAAACCTTTGATAAAACTCAAATGCAAGTAATCATCTTGAATATATGTAAATTGTGTGCATGTGAACGATAAGCTAATTGCGAATGAGAGTTCTAGTAAGTGTACTGTTGAGCGGGAACATCGGTAGGCATATCAAGACGACGCTTTGCTTATACAGGTACGTTTTTTGTTTTTAAGGTTATGTTTTTGACTATCAAATTTTGATTATTTAAAATTTAACGTTTTTCTTGTCGTTTCAGCTCAATAAAACTAAATAACGAGCAGAAAACCAATATTAAAAGGGTGGTAAAAATGGATAATAACGTAATCAAACGATTTAATGATATTGTAAAATCAGCCGAAGATAAACGCCTTTATCGAGGTCTAATTCTCGCTAATAATATGAAAGTGATTTTGGTTAGTGATCCGACCACTGATAAATCAGCTGCTGCTATGGATGTAGGAGTTGGATATTTAAGTGACCCAGATAACATCCCAGGGTTGGCTCATTTTTGCGAACACATGTTATTTCTTGGTACAGAAAAATACCCCAATGAAAATGATTATAACAAATTTTTAAGTGAACACGGAGGAAGTTCAAACGCTTCGACAACCCACGATCACACAAATTATTATTTCGATATTGTCCCCGATCAACTTCCCAATGCTCTTGACCGTTTTTCCCAATTCTTTAAGTCCCCTTTATTTACCGCAAGCGCAACTGAACGTGAAATAAAAGCTGTACATTCAGAACATGAAAAAAATTTAGCCAGCGACGTTTGGCGTATTGATCAATTAGATAAACACACCGCCGATACTAATCATCCCTTTCACAAATTTGGAACTGGAAGTCGACAAACATTAGAAATTACACCAAAAGAAAGTGGGATTAACGTTAGGGATGAATTGTTGAAATTCCATGGAACTTGGTATTCATCGAATATTATGTCTTTAGCCGTTTTAGGAAAAGGTAAATAAAAAAAAAATTTTAAAATTAAATTAAATTGAAATTGAATTTTAGAAAGTTTAGACGAATTGGAGCAAATGGTTATAAAAATGTTTAGCGAGGTTAAGGATAAGGATGTGATAGCTCCGAAATGGGAGGTTCATCCTTTTTCTGGTGATCGTTTGAGGACTTGTACATATATGGTTCCAATTAAGGATATTAGGAATTTAAATCTTATTTTCCCAACACCTGATTTAATTGAATTGTATAAATCACAGGTAAGTATTGATTTTATTAAAATAGGTTATGTTTTAACAATGAGATATACATAGTTATGAAACTACTATGCACTTGCATTGTCCTACATAAAATGCAACATAGCTAATAGTACAGGTATTGGGTAGTTTTGCTTGGAAAAGGTGAAGTCTTTATGATAACCCTGAATTTTCGGCCGTCTTAAGAGACGCACTGCTAAACCTGAATGATTCTAGTTCTAGGTCTTGTGTTAGTTCTAGTTTTGCACAAGTACTATTACTAGATCAAGAACTAGAAACATTGGGATTTAGCCGCACGTCCTTCAAGACGGCTAAACCCGAATGATCATCAGATACCAGTAACAGAAGAAGAAAAATGCAGCTCAAACGTTTCAACGGTTTATTAACTTCCGGTATAAGTGTCATTTTTGTCTACTGAAAGATTAGATAGTTTTGGAATCAACATTAAATCGTGTAAATGTGTTTTTGGACTAAGGTCCATTACTACCATCTTTTAGTTAAATTTATCTTATAGATAAACTCATCTACTCACTGATCTAGCCAATCAGAGCGCGTAAAATAACCGTAACCGTGGTAAGAATCCCTTAGATAGCTTAACCAGAAGATGGTAGTAACGAGCCTAAGGTCCATTACTACCATCTTTTAGTTAAATTTGTCTTATAGATAAACCCATCTACTAGCCAAGCTAATACTAGCCTAAGGCTCGTTACTACCATCTTCTGGTTAAGCTATCTAAGGGATTATTACCACGGTTACGGCTATTTTACGCGCTCTGATTGGCTAGTAGATGGGTTTATCTATAAGATAAATTTAACTGAAAGATGGTAGTAATGGACCTAAGTTTAATAGATTTTTTAAGCCATTATTATATCGTCCTAAGGGTGTCGTGCAACTCAATCAAAAATTGAAGCAATAAATCATTTTCTTCAACCTCAAAATCTGAAAGAACTCCAGAGATTTCTTGAAATGATCAATTTCTATCATAGATTTCCTCCCAATTTTTCTGAAATTCTTGGACACTTACATTTTCTTTCGACCACTCTTTGCAAAAATAATCAGAAACAAATTACCGTGTGGACAGACGAGCACACTGACTCTTTTTCACGTGCTAAAGAGCTGTTATCTTAATCTGTATACAGGAAATGTCTGGAATATAGCCAATAACTTCGCCATTTGTGGTTTTATAGGAAAATGTTTCAAATAAATTTTTTTTTATTAATTGTGAGGCATTTTTTGGCGATATTTGCTTGTTTACATTGTCTTTTGTTTCGTTACTATGGCAACCAACATTGTTATTTTAAATGGAATGCATATGTATTTTTTGCATATTTTGGTAGAAGAAAAATCCCTCTACGCGATGAACATATCAAATCATACGTAGAAAAGTAGTTCCAAAAAGTAGACTGCTGAAGACTGCTATAGTAGAAACCACGAGAGCTGGCAGTGACAGATCGCTTAAAAATGGTATGAATCAAGATATGGACGTACGTCTTAGATTATTTCACCACATACATATAAATGTAGGTTATGTTAGTAATGGAGGTTATATGTCAAACATTGTCAAAGATATTATTTAATGATTTTCCTTTCAAAGAAAACATTTTCGGCTTGTGAAAACACTAACAGATTCATGACAACGCTCACAAGACGTTTCGATTTGAGGTTATAATTATAGAGTGACATCCCTTAGAAGAACAGACGTACTTTTTCGACGTGGCCATTTGAATTGTACAGCAGACATATTAAACTAATGCTATCTCTTTCCAACACACATTACTCTCTAGCGGTTTGTGAACTACGTATGGCATTTGTAAGAGCGGAAAATGATGATTTACTGCCAGCTCTCGTGGCGTCTACTATACCAATGACGAAACTACATAAAATGTGTGTCACCGTACCCATACATTATTAATTATTCATAATTATTGAAACTGTCATTTTTTTGACATTTAAAGCTGTCAACGGCGTTATTTCTGCGCTTACTTTGATTGTAATTTGCTGACTTAATATTTTCAGAAAACGTATTTTTTCTCGATTTTATTCTTATACAACCATTTGATTTAATATATTCATCACATAGAGAAATTTATCCTCTATCAAAGTATGCAAAAAGAATATATGCATCCCATTTAAAATAACAATGTTGGTTGCCATAGCAACGAAACCATAAAAATACAAACAAGTAAATATGGCCAAAAAATGCGCAACAATTAATAAAGTATTTAAAACACAACATTTTTCTTTAAAACCACAAATGGCGAAGTTATTTGCTATATTCCAGACGTTTGACACACCCTGTATATCGCACATCCGAATCCTTCAGCCATCTTGACATTAACAACAGATGCCTCTAATACAATTATGGGTGCAGTTTTATCTCAAGCTATTAATAATACAACACAACCCATGACTTTCTTATCAAAAAAGTTATCATCAAAAGTCAAATGATTTATTTAACTTTTGATAGGGAACTTTTAGCTCTATCATAGTGCGTGATGCGCTACACTAGTTCTTGACTAGTTCTTATTTAAACTATAACTAACATTAGACCTAGAAAGTTTCTGGTTTTGCCGTGCGTCTTCAGAATATTTCTAGGTCTAGTGTTTGTTCTAGTTTTATACTAGCACTGTTGCTGTGTAGAACTAACACTATACTTAGAACTAGAATCATTTGGGTTTAGCCGCACGTCTCTAAAGACGGCTAAACCCGAATGATTCTAATTCGAGATATAGTGTTAGTTCTAGTTTTACACTTGCACTGTCACTAGAACTAACATTAGGCCTAGAAGTAGAATCATTTGGGTTTAACCATACGTCTAGCACTGCTTAACAATAAAAAATAAAGAACTAACACTAGACCTAGAACAAGAAAGTTTCGGGTTTAGGTTCTAAACCCGAATATTTCTAGTTGTAGGTCTAGTGTTAGTTCTAGTTTTAGTTCAATAAAAATATGCAACATAGTCCAACATAGTGATATTTTATGCTAACTAGCGCTACCTACCAATCATTCTAGGTCTAGTGTTAGTCAGCGCTAGATTGTAGTATATTTTAATTGAGCTATAACAGACACCAGACAGACACTGCGTTCCCCATATTAATCCCCGTTATGTCGAGGTTTTACCTTAATGTCAAATAATATTGACCATGGTGTGCAATCTCACTACTATAAAAATGTAGACCCAGGTTTTAGTACCCTCACAATCCACTGAATGACGTTGTAGACTGAATTTGTAGCAATCTGCATTATCTACACAAACAAAGCGCTTGTAACCATAGAAAAATTTATATGTAACGTCAAACTCAAAGGGCTCAAAGGTGAAAGCAAACGTCACATTTTTGTTTTGTCGTTTGGTGTGATAACACCGTTGTATAAGCAAATATTCTTCTTTACTTTCCTTTGGCTTATCGTTAGTGTTTTATATCCTTTAGTTAAGTGTTTAAATAAGTTAGGGCCACTTTTACCACCTCTTCATAAGTTTATCCGATAAATAAATTGGCGCTCTTAAATGAGAGCAATATATATTATATTTAAAATTATGAATTTTATCTTGGAAAAACTATAAATTCATATTTTTTTGCATTTATTTGTAAAATGTACTTGACCTCTTCAAAATAAAGTATTGGTATAAACCGGTATAGAAATACCTATATTTAAATTTCGCGCTTTAACCTAATTAGTTCCCTCACAATCCCCTTGGGAGCGCTGAATGTACCAAAAAATAGTAGGGAGATGACCTTCTATATACATAATATATATACATTTTTCTATGATATTGACATGTTACATTTTATTTGGGACAAAGTAAGTAGGTACGCCCTGGTTTCTATGGAAATATATTTTTATATATTGCATCATAATCAGATATTTAATAATATTAAAAAATATAATAAAATAGTAATAAGATAATTAATATAAATATTTTTGAAATGGTAAAAACTTCCTGCATAAACTACTATGGCAATAACATTTTTTCTTAACAATTTCATTATCGTTACTTGGTACGAACCCCAATCGACCATCGCCGTAATCAAAAGTAATTTCCGTATTTTCTGGAATATCATGTAAAGCGAACACGCAAAGCTTCGGGATGACGCATTGACACCGAATTGGAATAACCAAACAATTTGGTTGACAACTATGGTTAATGTAACGTCCGATGTTACCAAAAATCGATGGATCAATAAAAGTTTGTATCTTATTTTCACCGAATTGTTCCATTAAACAAAAAATGTAATTCGGTAAACAATGTTCTTCTTGCCGTTTGAATCGTAAATCAGCTTCGTTTTTCGAGATAATCTCACCGGCATATTCACAAACGAAATTTCCTTCTTTAATAGCTTCCGTCGTCATCAACCCGGCCCCTTTAGACCCTTTCAAATCCTTAATTCTCTGTTTATTTAATTTCGATAATTCACTTTCGGTTAATATCCTAAGACCTTTCCTAGGCCCGAATTGCACCAATTTGTTCCCACAGAAAGCGGAACAAAGACAATTTTTATTACACTCGTACACCGGGCTATCTTTCTTGATTAATTCATAATTATTTTGAATCGAATCGATTGTGTTGGACGTTTTGTCGCGTTGAAATTCATAATTCGCGTTTAATTCTATACAGCTACACCCGGATTCTTTCGTACATAAATCGGTGCATTTACATCCGGAGGCTAAATCGTAAAAATTATCGTATGTTTCTTTAGTTGGGATATTCTCGGTTGTGTACATTACTTTTGGGTCGTTTACTGCGATATCGTAGGTGTCGATTAGCGGCGGGATTTCCATTTGGAGTCTTCGACAAGGTTCGTTATCGATTGAGGTTATGTTTACTACGGCGGGTTTAAATCGATTTTGAGTTTCCATTATTAAGTTTTATATAAAATTGTGGTGATTTCTTTTAAATTGGATCAAAATTGATGTTCTTACGAATTAAAAATGATTTTGACAGGTTATTTTTATTTGATTAATTTTTTTTTTTGTTAAGTTTGCCAAGTTGAATTCACCATTTTGAATTATGATTTTAACCTCAAAATTTCTTTTTTATTATACTCTGTTTTTACACTAGGAAAAATCACCAGAAAATATCACTAGATATTTTGGCGGTAAATTTAAATTAATAATTATTATTATTTATTTATTTACTTATTATTGTATATATTTTCGTTTGTTATCGTCAACACTAAACATACAAATTAACATTGAAGTTATGAGTGTATTTATTTCAAAATATAATAAAGAAGGGTTTAAGAACACAAAATTGAATGACACGAAACTGAATGACAAAATGACACGAAACTGTCGAATTGTCAATAACCTAACCTTCAAATTCAAAATTGCCTGTGTGTGAACCTTCCTCGCATTCAACTAATTACGTGCAAGGTCAATCTGGTGACAAATTTAAAATACTCCTCCTGGTTTAAAAACAGAGTATAATTGCCAAAGAATACTTCATGGTATAATTAATGTTTGTAAACAAAACTAACCTTACCGAACATTCCTTCACGCTATAATTGACATTACTAATTGCCAAAGAATACTTCATGGTATAATTAATGTTTGTAAACAAAACTAACCTTACCGAACATTCCTTCACGCTATCTAGTCGAATAGTCTAAAGACGCACGGCTAAACCCAAATTTTTCTAGTTCTAGGTCTAGTGTTAGTTCTAGTTTTACACTAGCACTGTTACTATGTAGAATTAACACTATACTTAGAACTAGAATCATTTGGGCTTAGCTGCACGTCTCTAAAGATGGCTAAACCCGAATGATTCTAGTTCTAAGTATAGTGTTAATTCTAGTTTTACACTAGCATTGTTACTATATAGAACTAACACTATTCTTAGAACTAGAATCATTTGGGCATAGCTGCATGTCTCTAAAGACGGCTAAACCCCAATGATTCTAGTTCTAAGTATAGTGTTAGTTCTAGTTTTACAACTGCACTGTCACTAGAACTAACATTAGACCTAGAGTTAGAATCATTTGAGTTTAGCCGTACGTCTCTTAAGACGGCTAAACCCGAATGATTCTAGTTCTTGGTCTAGCGCTGTTTGACAATTAAAACTACAACTCACACTGTTATTATGTATACTTAAAACTAGAATCATTTGAGTTTATCTACCAATTTGTTCCTTATGTATGTTTCTTTACTTGGGATGTTCTCGGTTGTGTACATTACTTTTGGGTCGTTCGTAGGTATCGATTAACGGTGGGATTTCAATTTGGAGTCTTCGACAAGGTTCGTTTTCGATTGAGGTTACGTTTACTAAGGCGGGTTTAATTCGATTTTGAGTTTCCATTATTAAGTTTTATGTAAAATCTTAGTGATTTGTTTTAAATTGGATCAAAATTGATGTTATAACGAATTAAAAATGATTTTGACAGGTTATTTTTTATTTGGTTATTTTTTTTTTGTTAAGTTTACCAAGTTGAATTCACCATTTTGAAATTTTGAATTACGATTTTAACCTCAAAATTAATTTTTTTATTTCTTTTTAGCCTGGTAATTACATAAGTCATTTAATTGGGCATGAAGGGCCTGGAAGTCTCTTATCGGCGTTAAAAGAGAGGGGATGGTCGAATAGTCTTGTTGCGGGGAATAAACCGGCCCCGCGAGGAATGGGGTTCTTTGGAATCTCCGTTGATTTAACCGAAGAAGGGATTAAACACATCGATGATATAATAACGTTAATATTTCAAGTAAATTAATGTTTTTTTTGTGATAAATAAGTAATTTATTGACTTTTTTAGTACATTAAAATGTTGAAAGATGCCGGGCCGTTGTTGTGGATTCAAGAGGAGCAACGAGATATATCCGCGATGACTTTTCGGTTTAAAGATAAGGAGAGTCCTAGGAGTTATATTGTGGGGCTTGTGAATAATCTTCAGGTTCGTTTATTTAAAAATGCGAATTTAAGGGAGTTAATTTTTTATTTTGAAGCATTTTCCGCTTGAAGATGTTTTATGTGGTGGATATTTTTTGACCGATTGGAAACCGGAAATAATTACGAGCTTGCTAAATGATTTTAATCCGAATAATATTAGAGTGGGGGTTATCGCTAAGAAATATGTGGATGTCGTCGATCAAAAAGAACCGTGGTATGGAACTGATTATAAAATAGTTACGATACCTCAACAAACTTTGGAGGTAAATACTAAATTACATAATAATATGTAATAACGTTGATTTTATGTGTAGATGTGGAAAAACGTGGCAGTTCCGAACGATCTTCATTTGCCCGATAAAAATGAATTAATTCCGAGCAATTTCGAAGTTTACCCATTGGAGAAGGAAAATACTGAGTGGCCGAGTATTATTAAAGACACCCCGATTAGCCGAGTTTGGTTTAAGCAGGATGATAAATTTTTGTTGCCCAAAACTAATTTAATGTTTGATTTTGTGAGGTAAAAGAGACTCTGCGAAATATTTCTAAATTAATCTCATTATTGTAAAAGTCCTTTAGCATATTTGGATCCACTCAATTGCAACTTAACCCACATGTTTGTGCAATTATTTAAAGATTCCTTGAATCAATATGCTTACGCTGCAGAATTAGCGGGATTAAAATACGAACTATCCAACACAAAATATGGATTAATTGTAAAATTATTAACTTTTTTTTTAAATTATTTATAAACAATTTTTTTTTAGTTAGTGTTGAGCGGATTTAATGATAAACAATCAGTTTTCTTGGATAAAGTGATGGAAAAATTGACCTCTTTTAAAATTGATCCAAAACGATTTGAAATTTTTAAAGAAAACGTAAATTAGATCTAAATTAATAATAAAAACATCTAAATTTTCAATTTTTTTTAGTATATAAGGATGTTAAAGAATTTCGCCGCGGAACAACCATATCAACACGCCGTTTATTACTTAGCCGTTCTATTAACCGAACATTCTTGGACGAAACAAGAACTTTTAGCTGCAACGGAACGTGAGTGGTGCTAAAATAAACTAACATCTACCTTTAAAATGATCTTAGAATTAACTGTTGATAGATTGGAGGCGTTTATACCGCAAATTTTATCGAAAATGCACGTTGAATGCTTACTTCACGGCAATTTGACGCGCTCGAAAGGTTTGGATTTGGTGGAAATCGTCGAAAATCGCTTGCAACAAAGCGTTAATATGCAACCGTTATTACCCAGGCAATTATTACTTAACCGAGAATTAAAATTGGAGGATGGATGTAATTATTTATACGAAGTACAAAATGAGGTTCACATTGCAAGTTGTGTCGAGTTGTATTATCAATGTGGAGTGCAAAACACAGCGAGTAATATGTTGTTGGAGTTGTTCTCCCAGATTATTCACGAACCATGTTTTAACGTTTTAAGAACGAAGGTAATTATTTTAAATTGGGTAAAATCCATGTTGCAAGATTAAATTTAACTTTGACATATCATAATAGCTAATCCAATTATCACTAGAACTAACACAAGACCTAGAATCATTCGGGCCACGAGTTTTTTTAATGAATGAGTGCTTTAAGTCTTATGAAACGTTTTTATACTTTTTTTTAACAAAAATAAAGTAAATTTTGGCAATGTAGGGAAATAGGTATGTAGCAGTTGGTAACACTTGAAAATAGAAACTTTGAATTGACAATTAGAAACTGTCAAAGCACAAAATATATTCACCTGAAAAAAATGTTTGATGTACACCTCCCAAAATAAGAGAAATTGCTCAGAGTCAATGTCCTCATCATTGTGGACCTTGTATTCGATGCTAAGAACGTGTTTAAACATCCATAGACAAAAATTGTCACATTGACAACTAGAAAAATTAATGACCCAATGTCACCAACTTGAACAGGTTCCATAAAATGTTACTAAAATCTCATTACAGCATCGGATGCTGTAAGGAGTCTCATTACAGCACCCGTTTGAGTACTGTTATAGCTTCTATTACCGTAGCGAATTACAAAAAGTAAATTTACAGTTTCCTGTAAATTATGGTAGTATAACTAAAAATTATTCTACTAAAAATTTATATATAATTTATTTTATTGTCGAATATGTAACATTCTAACATGTTAAACTTTTCGTAATCCATCTTAAAAAACAGGATTTTTAATTTGACACAAATTTTTGAATACAAATATAGCTATGTTTGTTTGAATTAAAAAAAATATATATATATAAGCGCCATCTATCAATAATTTATTAAGTCATTTAATAATAATATTAAATATTAATAAAAAATCAAAAATAATATAATCTATTCCAACTTTTGTGTAAAACAATATAAATTAAATAGTTCAACAAATGTATTTGTTTTGAAATATCAGAAATATGTTTTTTTAATTTAGTTATAATTTACAGGAAACTGTAAATTTAATTTCTTTGACAACATTAAAAAAAAAAGTTTATTTTTAGCTTTTTCTAGTTCTAGGTAATGTTAGTTCTAGTTTTACACTAAAACTAGAACTAACACTAGATCTAGAACTTACTTTTAATTATAACCAAATTTGTTTTAGGAGCAATTAGGTTACATAGTTTTCAGTGGGATTCGTCGCTCAAATGGCGTTCACGGTTTAAGAATAATCGTTCAATCACAAAGACACCCCACTTACGTTGATGAGAGAATCGAGGAATTCCTCACGAGTATGTACGAGTACATCGAGAATATGTCCGATGAAGAATTCGCAAAACATAAAGAAGCTTTGGCCGTGCAACGTTTGGAAAAACCGAAACAATTATCATCGCAATCTTATGTATATTGGACGGAGATTAATATGCAACAATATCACTTCGATCGTGTTAATGTTGAAGTTGCTTATTTGAGGAATATCACCAAAAATGATATTTGCGATTTTTATAAAATGTTATTGGCGGAAAACGCTCAACAACGACACAAAATTGCGATCCATGTTATATCCGTTGCGGATGGTGTTACGAGGGGGCCTGTACACGAAGAAACGACTAAGTTGGTTTCTGCGCAAACGATGATTCATGATGTAACGGCGTTTAAGAGTTCGCATGGAATGCATCCACTTGTCCAACCGTATATTAGTATAACGCGGAAAGGAAATAAATCGAAACTTTAAAGGTTTTTTGGATGATAATGTTTAAATAAGATGTTATCGTTTTTTCTATAAATAAAATTTAATAAAACTAGATTTTTTTTTTAATCTTTAATTTCCATAAAAATTATAAACTCGATTTAAAATACTGTACACATACAGAGCAAAAAAATTAGAACTTAAAAAAAACAGATTCATCTTTTTTCTTGATATGGCATTTTTACGGATATGAATCTCTATTTTATATATATATATATATAAACATGCTCTCAATTATAGAATAGTTTTAGTCTCTTTGAGTCCCTTCCGAGAGAAAGTGCCCGTAGCCGCCAAGGTTTCCGAGTATGTATAGAAATATATAATCATGTATAACTAAATCACCCTTAATAAATGAATTCTTAAACAAATTAAGAATTAATTTATTAGGGGTTAATTACAATTCGTACTTTATTTTGTTTATAATAAAAAAAATTAAGACCATGTTACATCGACACATTAAAATAGAAGATCGTCTTGTTTTCTTTGATTTCTTTTATTATTATTAATTTTTGTATCGCGGATTTTTTTTATTATTAATAATTATTGTTCTCAATGATTTGAATCCGCGAAAAACGTGTATCAAAATAGAGCGTGCACCTTCACGGAAGGCGGACCATTAACACTACGAAAACTTAATTCACAAAAGCTACCAAAAAAAAAAATAAAATAAAATAAAATTGCGCAGAGATCAAATTAAATCATTGCCACTCTTCTTAAGATATACATATATCTCTTATATATTAAAAAATACAATAAAATATTACACGAACGACGAATTATCATTAATTTTCTTTTTTTAAATAGGCTTCATTTTTATTATTAATTTTATTTCATTTCATTGCACAAAAAAACTAAAAACAAGGAGATTAAAATCGAAAAAAAAAAATACTGAGTTAATATCTAATTAATTGAGTGATTCAACCTCAAAGTTAAAATATAAAATTAAAGTGTCCGATTTTCAGTACTTCATTGTTTCCGACCTGCGGATACGAGGCACCAAAATTTAAAAAAAAAAGAATTAAAAATCAAAATCCAGAAAAATAGGAAGGGATTTTTAAAAAACCTCGTGTAACCAAAACGAAAAGTCCTTTTCCGTCATTATTCTTTGTCGTTTAAAACGTTTCTTCTTTTTATAATAACATACGATCTAATCCTACGAAACTGATAATAATGACGTAATAATAGTAATCGTAATAATACTAATATTGTGAGTTTGTAGGCACGTAAGTGAAAATGTTTTATTAAAAACGCGACCGAATCGAGGCTAGTCCTTAACCAGTCGGTAAATGTGGTGTTGAGCTCCGTGCTCCGATGTTGATACTTCGAAAACGTACGCCGTACAAAGTAACGTTTCTTGTGTTTCTCTATTACTCACCACCTAAAAAGAATTTATTAATAATAAAATTAATTAATATTGTTATAATTTGACATAAAAACAGAAATCTGTTTTATCATTATTAAACGCCATCTATTGGATGACACAAAACTTACTTGTAAAATTGTAAAATTTTCCAATACACTATTCATCATGTATTTTTCGGGAAGGTGTTTTAATTTATGTATAAAATTAATCATATATTCGCACATAGGACTCCTATGAATCCTATAAATAAATTTTCCATTATCATAGCGAGCATATTCCGTTTCAACTTTTTCCACAACTTGTTTCCCAAAAGAACAAACTTTTGTTGAACACGTTATAGTCATGTTTTCGTTACTCTCATACCTATAAAAAATTAAAAAATAAATAATCACAAAAACAATTAATTGATATTTACTTACTGGCTAGTTACACCGTAAAAAGCACCGGCTTCATCTTGTATATTACTATTAAGATCTGCCCAAAATTTGACGAGAAAGAACGCGTTCTGTGGTCCTTTATCGTACAATTCTTTTAATCCGCCTTTTTTCTCCGGGAATTTATCGTAAATTTGTCGCACATCGACCGCTTCTAATAAAGGGTCGGCGTACGATATTGCTGGACCCCCTATATGCACAAATAGATGTCTGGGGTACTAAAAAATTAATTACAAGGTTAACGAAAATATTCAAAAAGAAATTAGATTTTTTGTAAATACATTTACCGGCTCGTCTCGATTTTGCGACTCCATAAACGCCGAAAACTCGACCAGCCTTAATTTATGGGTCGCAATTGCTCTTCCTTCCCATACCGGTGGATGTGGCGGTTGCAATGCTCCTACATCGCCTTGGGAAACTGCCGTGGAGGGTTTTCCACTTGGATATGATGATTGCGGGAATGGTTTTACACTAAAATTTAATTAATTATAAAATAAAAATTTATTAAATTTTATGAACGTATCCTATTTGAAGCTAACTTCACTTACTAATTAAATTTTGACATTAAATGTCAATTATAATTAAATTAATTGTCAATTTGAATTGCAGTGAAAGCTCTAATAAGCGGACTCTTTTGAGAAAAGACTACTCAAATTAAAGTATATTTATACACATATATATTATCATTCTCGAATAACGAATGATTTTGGTTTGGAAATTACACTCAATGATTCTTTATAAAATGTGATTGTTGATTGAAGTCAAGTACTTTGGAGATAAGGTCTGAGGTCCCACAGGTATCTATTCTTGGCCCTACACTATTTAAAATTTACTCAATAAATTTTCTGAAGGCCACTTTGATGAAAGCTTCAATAAGTTTAAACGCGACTTGTATTATTCATGGGACGCGATAAGACCTAGATCATTCTGCTTGGGGCCCAGAAGTTAAAAGAGAAATTTATTGATGGGTTTTATCACCTGTCGATAGGAAATACTCCTATTCCATTGAGTAAGTCTGTCAAAAACCTCGGCCTGATCATGGATGAGGCATTAAGCTTTAGGGAACACACTAACTAGTTGATTGATCTTGTTACAGTCTTGACTGAACACTTGAGATCATGTGTCTTTTGGTTTTAAGCAGTTAAAATAGCTGAACATGAAATCTCGCAGATACATCAACAAGACCTGCTTGTACTATAGGGTCATTACTGAAGGTACCCCTCGATACCTGCATGATAGGATTAAATTCAGAACAGACGTACATAATGTTAATGTTCGCTTCAAGGGTAGACTAACACCTTGTTCCCACCGTTTAAAAGAGAATTGAAGTGTTGGAAAAACTTCAAACTGGAAGACAACTTGTTTACCACCTGGTAAAAATGCTATAGACACTAGATGGATATTCAAAATTAAACAGGACGGAACGCATTAAGCAAGACTTGTGACAAAAGGTTTCCAACTAAAAGGAGGAATTGCCAACAAATGCACCAGTAGCAAGAATGGCAACAATAAGAACAATACTTGTACATGCAGTACAAAAGAATTGGAAGTTACAACAGTTAGATGTACCATCAGCTTTCCTGAATACCGGAAGGTTATAAAACTGCAAAGTGTACTGTTTTGAAACTAAATCGGGCTCTTTATGAATTGAAGGAGTCTCCAAATGTAGGAATAGTACATTCAACAAGAAAATGTTAAAAAACAACTTTGTGAGGTCGCAGCATGATTTTTGTCTCTATTGTAAGGAAGATGTATATGTATTAATATACAGGGTGCCCATTATGTATGGAATATAGTATATATCTTGGTAAGTATCAACTTTACAAAAAAACATTTTATACAAAAGTTGTTTAATATTTGATTTGCCATAATAAGACACCATTCAATTGTTTTTATTTCAGAAAACAAATGAGCAACGAATAACATTTAATTTTTTTAAAATGGCAATGTACCCTTTCGTTAGGCTCATTTGATAGAGATTTTTTTTCTCTTTACGATGACGTAAAATTTTAGTACCCTTATACTAGAAAATTTTTGAAAAAAATGTAAAAACAGTTTATTAAGTTAATTTTGCCAATAACATGAATCTAGATATCCGAAATCTTATTTGTCCTAACAATTGAATGTGACAGAATCTTGTTTATTTAAATAAGTTGGTAGATCAAAAAAGAAAAATGGTTCATTTAACAGAAACTGAACGCATAGAAATTTTAATTATGGTCGGTTATGGGGATCGCAAACGAACACAATTAGAAGTATGTGAAATTTTCAATGAGCGTTATTCACATCGAGAACCAATCACTCAATCAGTAGTTAGCAAAACTTCGAAACGTTTTAGGGAAACTGGTAACGTTAAAGATCTGCCAAAGACTGGTCCGCAGAGATCTGCAACAGATGAAGATAAAAAGATCGATATTCTCATAGAAATCGAAGAAAATCCAAACATTTCAACTCGTCAGTTATGTTTAAACCATGCTCTAAGTAAAGGTTCAATACACAAAATATTACATGCAGAAAATTTACATCCGTACAAACCGACTTTATTGCAAGAATTATCCGAAGATGACTACGGTCGACGTGTTGAATTTTGTGAATTTATGATGGAGCGAATCAACAGCAATCCAAATTTTCTCAATAATATGGTTTTCTCTGACGAGGCTACGTTTTGTTTAAATGGTAATGTAAATAAGCAAAATTCTCGATATTGGGCCGCTAAAAATCCCCATTGGATGATTCAAAATCATACTCAAACACCACAGAAATTAAACGTATGGGTGGGAATTTGTGCAGATCACATAATTGGACCTTTCTTTATTCGAGGTACTCTAACTGGTCACCGTTATTTACAATTATTGCAACAGCAAATTATCCCAGCTTGAAAATCTTGATGATCTTTGGTTTCAACAAGATGGGGCACCACCCCACTATCATTTAGATGTACGCCGATATTTAGATACGGTATTTCCGGCCCGTTGGATAGGCAGAAGAGGGTCTGTAGAGTGGCCACCCCGATCTCTGGATCTTACACCTTGCGATTTCTTCTTCTGGGGATATTTAAAATCTAAAGTTTATGTAAACCGACCTTAAAATCTGACAGAATTAGAGCAACGAATAAAAGATGAAGCTGCAGCTATTTCTCCCAGATCGCTAAGAAATTCTTTTCAAGCCTTTTATGATAGATTGGGCCACTGCCTTGCAGTTAATGGTGAACATTTTGAACATTTATTGTCGTGAAAACCATTTTAGTGCTAATTTCGTTTTGTCTTCAAAGTTTAATAATTTTCATTTACACTAATTTTTAGTTTATTTATTTTATTTTGTATGTAGATTTAATTTACGGTAATAATTCGAGGTAGTTGACGATCTCGGATATCTAGATTAATGTTATTGGTTAAATTTTCTTAATAAACAATTTTTACATTTTATGCAAAAATTTTCTGATGTAAGGGTACAAAAATTTTACGTCATCATAAAGAGAAAAGAAATCTCTATCAAATAAGCCTAATAAAAGGGTACATTGCCATATCAAAAAAATTAAATGTTATTCGTTGCTCATTTGTTTTCTGAAATAAAAACAACTGAATGGTGTCTTATTATGGCAAATAAAATACTAACCAACTTTTGTATAAAATTTTTTTTATAAAGTTGATACTTGCCAAGATATATACAATATTCCATACATAATGGACATACAGGGTATGTCGATGACTGCTATTTCATTTTCTCCGTTAACATAAGCATCTGTTTCTTTACCACCTTTGAAGCCATTTCAACTAACAAGACTAATAATAGAACTCCTAAAACGAGGAATCCCCGAACACATCTCGGTAAATATCTACTACAGATTACTTCAATGTGTTCGTCTGGTTACCTACGCGTCCATTTATTAGAAATATTTGCTCATTATGCAAAGAAAAATAATGTCCACGGGGTTGGTTCCAAGATTTTTGTCCGCTTATAAGAGATGTCCTCTAATTAGAGTTATCCGCAAAGAGAGCTTTTACTGCATAATAATATGATATTTATAAACTTACTCTTGTGATGTTCCTGGTTGTAAACCTGGTTGCCAAAATTGCTAAAATAAAAAATAAAAAAAATGTAATTAAAAAAATAACTTTATTATTAATTAATTAATTGCACGAAGGAGTAGCCAGCAGCAACACACAGCAAGTTATTTATTTAAATAATGCTTAATTAATAAGCTACAATTATATTATTATTATTAATTAATTTTTTTTTGCCACATCGACTTACCATGGCAGCATGGTTGTATGTCGCAACAGTCGATGGAAGCAAACCCAATACGGGGGCCCCCTTGCTGTGCATTGCCGAGGCAGATACAATCTGAGCACTCGACATATTCGACATTGTTTGTAGGGCTTTTTCCTTTGCCACATTATCCTAATGATTAATTATCGTTTAGTTTTCAAGTTAAGAAATTAAAAGATATTTTACAACGAGGAAGTGAAAATTAGGTCGGTTACACAAAAAAATGAAATTTATTATGCAATTTAGATCAATGAAAAGATAAAAAAAGAGAAAATAAACGATTTGAAACAATAAAAAAGAACGATTTTTGATTTATCTTAAATGAAATAACATCTGGGACAGCTTTATAACGTTGTCACCGATAGAGGGAGAATGTCAATATTACCATTATTTACCGATTTAATAGGAAACTAATTACGTTTACAGCTATTTTAGCGACATTTAACTTGATATTTACAAATACAAATGTTTTCTAAAATAAATGTATCATTCGTATTGATTTAAATTAATTTTTTATTCAGCGTTAAATTAGAAATTAACCGCGAAATGAACCGTTCTACTCTCGCCTCTCTCGTTGGGGCACAATCGGCGTCCCGCTAATTTTAGACGCGCTCTTTTTACGTCTTGGACCCAAGCCAGATATCCTCGACTGTCAACGCATCTTCTCCACCATTATAAAAAATCATCAAATACAAATAAATAAATAAATAAGTTTTCTTGTGAATCAATTGATGATGTTTTCTTAAAATTGTTTTGATTATTAGCAAAAAATCTTTTCTGAGTATGAAATCGTTTTTTTTTTCTTCGTTGGCGTTTCCGGTGTTGGTGGCCACATCTGGTTACGAAATTACCATCGTTCGAATTAAGATACTAGCCCGATTAATTCACCGCGTTAATGAGCCGTATCTTTTCTTTTCTTGAAAACCAATGGGGAAATGAAAGAGAAGGAGATATAAAGAGAGAAGTGGTTGACTTTCTAAGAATTGTACAATATACTACAACGGTACATGCACTATTAATTTCCTTGCGCAACGATCGGGTATCGCCTCTCGTTCCAAGGAGGAGACTCAACAAAGAAAGAGAGGGAAAGAAAGATGGTGTAGAGTAGATGATGGTTCGTTTTGGTGACTCACCACTTTGAGTTTGGCCTGTATCTCGCGGAGTTTTCGCCTCGCCAGCACCTGTATGTGTGAGCTGACCTGTTTCCTCGTGCGCGTCTTTCCGGTTCTCAATTTTATATACCTGGCTATAAGCTCGTTTCGACCTAAAACAAAATAAAAAAATTTAAATTTAAAATTAAAAAAAAACTTTTTTTCAACTCTGTATATACAGTAAAATTTCTAATTCATACGATGTGTATCAAAAGTTTTATTTTAATTTTTGATTTCTTCCAATTCAAAAAAATTTTAAATAAAAAATAGAAGGAAGAAGATGAAAACAGAAAGAGGAGGTCGCCCCCCGTAAACCTTCCCCCCTTTCGAACCCACCCCTTACAGCTCTCGGGTTCTAGGGACTCGCTCGTTCACTAATTGCACATTCTTGGCATAGTTCGGGGCCGCATCTTTCCAGGCCGTCACCGATTCCGTCGCCACGGTCTGGGAGGGGGGGCGAAGTACTACCACCGAGTGTCGTCGTCGTAGTCCCCCTTCTCCTTTCAGAAAGGGGATCTTCCAAAGGGGTAGATTTTGGGGGCGACTTTGACGAAGTTTTCCTCCCCCAAAAGGAAATTAAGACGTTGACTTACCGTACATTTTTCCCTCGTCGGAAAGGATAATCTTCCTTCTTCCACAAGGTGGGTAAATGGCAAGCGCTTCTTGGAAGCTTTGCTCGATATCCGGACTCCAGACACCTTCCGCGTCCGCCGCGGACATATCCTTCTCGTCCTGAAGAAGATAATAAGCGTTTTTTAAAAATCGTTTCATCGCGACATCCGTTGTGAACATGTTAAAAAGGGAACGGTGTTTGAAATAATTTTAACAAGATGAATTGATTTATTATCGTTAACAAAATTACTTTTTATTTCCTTTTGAAATGTATTTACGTTTATTATGGTGATGACGTAAAAAGTGTTACGCGAGTTATATTAGCGTAAGAGTAATCTGGTGGTGTTGTTGTTTTTGACTCTTACGTTTTTGGGCAGTTTTCGTGATTAAAACGAAATCAAAAATTCAAAACGTTCGAGAATCTTTATCAATGTTTACATTTCGTTTTGTATTTTAATATCGAAATCATCGTTTTATCTAGTCTTAAATTCTTATTTTATAAATAGCTTGTTTTAGCAAAATTATGAAACTTATAGAACAAATATTAAGCATTTTATTTTATTTTTGAACTTCCTTTTTTTATTTCAATTATAATAAATTATTGACAGTTGTTATTGTGGCGATTAACAATGACATATACATATATATTAGAGTGGGTCTTTGTGTAATGGGGTTTAAAAGCATTCAATAAATTCGTTAACTCTATTTGGAGTAGCTTGGCGTTAATGCATATCAGGACTGTTTGGCGGCGTGATTTGATCCTATTGCAACAATTAGCCGTGAATCAATGTGTTATTTTGCTGCCAAATTCAATGAGATAAACTCGCCTGATATCGAAATACAACGGAATAATTATACAATGTTTACTCTTATTTTAAATTTGAATATTTATAGTTCCTGTGATATAAAAATTTGCATTTTAATATTTATATCCACTGCCTTGGCAGGACAGATGCCTCCCCTTCTAATATTACTGTCTTAAAATGTTTTTAAGCAATAAAACCACTGCCTCGGCTACTTAATAATCCTATATTGAAATGTTTTAATATTTGTTTGTTAAGTACTGGAACTACTACCTCGGCAACACAGTTGCCTCGGCTTCTTAATACCACTCTATTAAACTGTTATATCTGTTTTTTAAGCACTAAAACTACTACTTCGGAATCCCAGCTACCACGGCATCTTATGCATGCTGTATTGAGATGTTTTAATATTTGTTTTTTAAGTACTTGAACTACTACCTCGGCAACATAGTTGCCTCGGTTTCTTAATAACGCGGTATTAAAATGTTTTAATATACAGGGTGTCCCGTTAAGCGTACGGAGCGGCTGTATCTCAACAACGGTGAGGCCTAGAGGTTTGGGAAAAAAATCCTTATAAGCAAATTGGGCAAGGGAAATACCTGGAAATTATTTTGAATTTCGTAATTCGACCGCTAGGGGGCGTAACTGCCATAGAGAAACATAAAATTCCCGCTATCTCAGAAAGTTAGACGAAGAGCTATAACTTTGACAACATCATTTAGTAGCTTGGATAATACCGCATCGCTTTTGTTTTGCGATATTTCTCATATCTGTCATAATAAGGGAGGGGGAGGCCAATACGTTTTCAAATGTTTACATTTTAATATCTCCTGGACCATTCAACCGATTTGAATATTTTTGGTCTTGTTTGAAAGAGCATTTCATGCTCTCTTTAAAGATATTTTCAGTAAGACCGCTTGGTTTAAAACAAATAAGCTAGAGGGCGTTATCTGCAGCGGTTACATATTTTTGTGATTTTTGAAAAAAAGTTAAATGGAACGGTACTATTTACTTCACAGACCATTAATCACCATAAAATTTGCTAAATATTAGTGAAAACCGCATCTCGATATCTCCATCCATTCTCGAATTATAAAAGAAAATGTTAAAAATTCGTATATCTTAATCGGATCAAGTTACCTTAGGAAACAAATAAGAGAGCACAAAAATTTTATTATCTAGAACCTTCCTTCACACTTTATCTAAGCTTAGAACTGCTTCAAAACTACTTTTGAGGCGTGTTGAAAAGCCAACGGATCAATGAAACATCAACAATGATAATAAAACAAAATAAACCAAAACACTTAGAATAACTTAAATTTTTGGCAAAAATAACTCACTAATGTGCGAAATGCCTACCATAAACCTCGATGTATTTATTTAATCTAGTTTCGACGAAAAAAAAGGGCTGCTTAAGTCTCGGCCCTAGACACGTTTCTACTGGTATTTAGTGTTTTGTCATATTTTCCTTGGATATTGGTTTTTCCTGAAAAATCAGATCGTTTAGTCTACCCAATAGATAAAGGGGTGAAAGCAATGTGGGTTTTACTGGAACCAAGAATGCATATTATGCAAGTTTACATCAGCTTGTGGACAGATGCTTCATGCATCCATAGCATTTGTGATAAAAGGTTTGGATTTGCCCAAATCATATTTAAAAGTCAATGGTAATAGTTCAGTCTGTTATCATAATCGGTATCTGTTAAGGCCTGATGTAAAACAACGTGGTGGAGATATTATTCTCTTGAGAAATCTTGTGGACAACTGTTTTCGGAGTTCCCAGATTATGTAGGATCACATTGCGCGCCAATGTGATTTACGAATTCATAGAGATGTCTGAATGGGCTACACGTTGCCAGTTTTCCGTAATCGCTAAGTCAATCTTAAAAACACTTCTAGAGAAAAATGTCTTTCTTTGTCGTAATTGCATTGCACATTTTTGCCATGCAGTTGCATCGTATTCAAAACATTGAAAATAAATCATCATCCGCTTCTGCGTTAGTAAATGACATGTTTACAGTTACCATGGTTATGTGATTTGTTTTTGTCGATAAGGTAACTGGATCCGATTGATGGCACTCGAGTTTTTAACATTTTCTTCTATAATTCGAAAACGGGCGATATCGAGATGCGGTTTTCACTAAAATTTAGCAAATTTTAAGGTGACTAAGGGTCTGTGAAGTAAATAGTATCGTTCCATTTAACTTTTCTTCAAAAATCACAAAAATATGTAATCGCTGCAGATAACGCCCTCTAGCTCATTTGTTTTAAAGCAAACGGTCTTACTGAAAATATCTTTAAAGAGAGCATGAAATGCTCTTTCAAACAAGACCAAAAATATTCAAATCGGTTGAACGGTCCAGGAGATATTAAAATGTAAACATATAAAAACGCATTGGCCTCCCCCTCCCTTATTATGACAAATATGAGAAATATCGCAAAACAAAAGCGATGCGGTATTATCCAAGCTATTAAATGATGTTGTCAAAGTTATAGCTCATCGTCTAAGTTTCTGAGATAGCGGGAACTTTATGTTGCTCAATGGCAGTTACGCCCCCTAGCGGTCGAATTACGAACTTCAAAATAATTTCCAGCTATTTCTCTTGGTCACTTTGCTTATAAGGATTTTTTTCCCAAACTTCTAGGCCTTAACGTTCTAGAGATACAGCCGCTCCGTACGCTTAACGGGACAACCTGTATTTTTTAAGCAATAAAACTACTACCTCGGCAAGACAGTTGCCTCGGCTTCTTAATAACACTGTATTAAAACGTTATATCTACTTTTTAAGCACTAAATCCACTACCTCGGCAGCCCAGCTGCCTCGGCATCTTAGTGGTGCTGTATTGAAATGTTTTAATATTTGCTTTTTAATTATTGGAACTACTACCTTGGCAACATAGTTGCCTCGGCTTCTTAATAACACTGTATTAAAATGTTATATCTGTTTTTTAAGCACCATACCCACTACCTCGGCATCTTAATAATGCTGTATTGAAATGTTTTAATATTTGTATACAGGGTGTCTCAGCGAGACCGGTCATTAGACGTTTCTGGGGTTCTGGCCAAACAAAAAATTTGAGAATGCAAACAAAAGTATTATCAATTACGTTCTCTTCATCTAAAATATTTTCAGATTTCTAGCACTTCCGGTTATACCGGAAGTCGCCACCTACTTTATTTTTTTAAATGGAACACCCTGTATATTTTTACACATTCTGATTTGTCTATTTTGAAGGTTTATAAATAACTTTACTTTTTGCAATTTGATTCGGCCGTTCTCGAGTTATTCGATTTTTTCTAGAAAAATCTGCTCCAATGGACAGTTGTTCAAAAAATCATAGAACACTCGATTTTTGAGATATCAATTTAAGATTCAGAACATGCTTAAACAACATGATGGAGTATGTTTTGGTGCCGAGAACGGCTGTCTAGAACGTTTGGTCACTTTACTATGACACGTTAACTTTTCGAAATTTGGAAGCACTATAACTTCATTTTTTTAAATGGCACCCCCCATATTTTATTACTTAGTCGTCTTCGGCGTCTTATTTTACATCTTTTATATTCCATATGTCCTATGCCTAACATTAATAGTTTGAGAAATAATTAGGGTTTTTTGAAAAATGCTCACATATCATATCGATATTAACCTAGTGTGCCATGGAAAACAAATGTTTAATGACTTATTGATAAACGTCAAATTCTGATTTACGTTGTTTGATACTTGTGAGTCTAAAACCAGTTAAAATGGATATTAATAACGTAAATAATGTTTATACAAATGAAGAAATCCATCATTTATTTTTTGTTCACGAAAAGTGCGACAAAGTTTTTAGTAGAACTTGCAGAATGTTTAATGAAAATTATCCACATTTATCTCCGATGACAAAAGGTAAATTTAGAAGAATAGAAGCAAATTTTTTGCATTTTGGACGAATTAATCACGTGTTAAACTGACCAAAAAATGTAGTAGATAATGCAACGGAAGAGGTGAATACCTTGGCTTATTTCGAGCCCAGTCCCAACACCTCAATTCGAGCTGCCAAAGAAGATCTGGGAATCATACTACGAACTTTGTCGCGCTTTTCATGCAAAAAAAATAAATTAAGAATTTCTTGATTTGTGTAAATATTACTTTCGTTATTGTTATCGATTTTAACTCGTTTCAGTACTAATATTAAGGGACATAACAGATAATTATTAGCTCACATGCATCAAGTGACGTAAACAAGTGAGTCTTTGACAAGAACTCATTGAGAAGGCTTGTTTTTCATGGCACACTAGGCTAAATATCCATATGATATGTGTGCATTTTTCAAAAAACCCTAATTATCTCCCAAACTATTAATATTAGGTATGGGCCATATGGGATATAAAAGATGTAGAATGAGACACCGAAGACGACTAAAAAATAAAATATGGGGGGTGCCATTTAAAAAAATGAAGTTATGGTACTTCCAAATTTTGAAAAGTTAACGTGCCATAGTAAAGTGACCAAACGTTCTAGACAGCAGTTCTCGGCACCAAAACATACTCCATCATGTTGCTTAAGCATGTTCTCAATCCTAAATTGATATTCCAAAAATCGAGTGTTCTCTGATTTTTTGAACAAATGTCTGGTGGAGCAGATTTTTCTAGAAAAAATCGAATAATTCGAGAATGGCCGAATCAAATTGCAAAAAGTAAAGTTATTTATAAACCTTGAAAACAGGCAAATCCAAATATGTAAAAATATACAGGGTGTTCCATTTAAAAAAATAAAGTTGGTGGCGACTTCCGGTATAACAGGAAGTACAAGAAATCTGAAAATATTTTAGACGAAGAGATCGTAATTGATAATACTTAAGTCTGAATTCTTAAATTTTTATTTTCGCAAGAACCCCAGAAACGTCTAATGACCGGTCTCGCTGAGACACCCTGTATAATACAATCAACGTTTTAATGACTTTTTCTAAACTCCTGCACACTACACTTGTACCTTGACGTTTAAAGAAGAACTTTTAATATTTTAAACTTACATCGCTGACATCTCCGACGTCCAAGTTTTTAGTGTCTTGGACCGGACCGTTCGCGTCCGCTGACGGTCCGGTCACCGGAGTCCAAGGGGAACTAATCGTGCTTGGTGATACAACGCTACCTGAAACAAAAATTGATCATTATTAACGAAACGGTTTTTTTTAATTTAGTGAAAAGAAGACAAAAAAGTTTAAATGAGTAATCGAACGGTGTAATTGTTCATTTTGTAATGACGGGACGTGTAAATTTAAGACTATAATCGTCGATATTGCCCCCGTAAGGTCATAAATTTCCTAAGGCACCTCCCGGAAATATTAACGCCGACGACGCCCCACGCTATGATAAAGCGCCGCTATACGGCAAACATGATCTATGACCGGACGGTTATTAAAGCGGACCTATTGTCCTTTTCCCTTGTCCAAAAGACCCTCGTCCGCAATCCTTAAACGTTTCATCATGTGTAAAATTCAACTAACTTGGAACTACATACTTCCTTTTAAAAGAAACTTCAGTATCAACCAAGCAAAAAATAATCAGTTTTACTTTTTACGAGACAATATATTTTTTGATGTTTCTCTATTTTGGTTTTTCCAACTATGAGACTCCGCCATCTGTAAATTTACCCCATAATGATGGCCGGAGTGAGGAATGCACCGCAATATCGCGTAGCGCGCCCCATTACGGAAATGTGGGTATATAGTCCAGCGGTGAAAGGACCTCGATCCCCCGACCATATACGCGTCTCGCCATCTACCCCCTAAACCCCCTAACAGTTAGAATCTACGAGGACGAATCTGCATATTATTTGCATTTCTCGCGACGGCTACAAGGACAAATTCTTTTTCGTTCCATAAGAATTTCATTTTTCCATCTTATATGTACAGTATCAATAAAAAGTAATTACAAAAAAATCTATTGATTGCAAAACAATTAAAACCTTCTCCACAAAACATCTGTCGACATGTGTTCAATAGATCAAGATTGTACAAATATAAAATTAATAGGTACTTAATACGTGTATATACGTATATCTATATTTTATAATAGGAAGAAATTATTTTCAAAAATAAATCGAATTAATTCTTAGATGTTAAATTTAAATGCGTTTGATAACGTCTCTCAAATCACCTTAGTTACGCTTGGAGTAAGTGATGACGTCACATTCTAGCGGGAAATCAACTTGTTTAAATTAAATACAGCGAAATTCCCCTAATTCGAACTTCTATATTTCGAATTATTGTTTAAGTCAAATAATTTTCGATTTTTTTGTAACTCGAACTGCACTACTACAGAATTGTTGAATAGTGCTGGTTCAAGTTATGATTGTATGTAGTAATCTAGTACTGAATAACAATTAGAACTAACACTAGTTCTAGTTTTACACTAGCACTATTGCTATGTAAAATTAACGCTATACTTAGAACTAGAAACATTTAGGTTTATTCGTACGTCTCTTTTAAGACGGCTAAACTCAATTGATTCTAGTTCTTGGTCTAGCGCTGCTTAACAATTAAAACTAGAACTAACACAAGACCTAGAACTAGAATTATTCGGGTTTAGCCGTCTTGAGAAACGTGCGGCTAACCCCGAACCAACCTCGGCGAAGTGAGGTAAATGTTTTCTTATAGAAGACTTTGTATCTTTACAAAGATGTACACAGAACGATTACGCTTCAAATCGCCAAGGTCACTTGCAGGCGAGGCGCTAGTTTTGATAAATCATCACGAAATAGTCAGCTCTAGGAAGTTCTACTGCCTCGCCCGCAAGCGACCTCGGCAGAATGAGGTTAAATGTTATCTTATAGGAAACGTTATATCTTTATAAAGATATAAAAGGAACGATTTCGCCTCAAATCGCCGAGGTCGCTTGCGGGCGAGGCGCTACTTTTGATAAATCATCACGTAATAGTCAGCTCCAAAAAGTTCTACTGCCTCGCCCGCAAGCGACCTCGGCAGAGTGAGGTTAAATATTTTCTTATAGAAAACTTTATATCTTTATAAAGATATAAAAGGAACGATTTCATCTCAAATTGCCGAGGTCGCTTGCGGGCGAGGCGCTACTTTTGATAAATCATCACGTAATAGTCAGCTCCAAAAAGTTCTACTGCCTCGTCCGCAAGCGACCTCGGCAGAGTGAAGTTAAATATTTTCTTATAGAAAACTTTATATCTTTATAAAGATATAAAAGGAACGATTTCATCTCAAATTGCCGAGGTCGCTTGCGGGCGAGGCGCTACTTTTGATAAATCATCACGTAATAGTCAGCTCCAAAAAGTTCTACTGCCTCGTCCGCAAGCGACCTCGGCAGAGTGAAGTTAAATATTTTCTTATAGAAAACTTTATATCTTTATAAAGATATAAAAGGAACGATTTCATCTCAAATTGCCGAGGTCGCTTGCGGGCGAGGCGCTGCTCTTGATAAATCATCACGCAATAGTCAGCTCCAAAAAGTTCTACTGCCTCGTCCGCAAGCGACCTTGGCAGAATGAGGTTAAATGTTTTTTAAGGAAAACTTTATATCTTTATAAAGATATAAAAGGAACGATTTCGTCTCAAATCGCCGAGGTCGCTTGCGGGCGAGGCGCTACTTTTGATAAATCATCACGAAATAGTCAGCTCTAGGAAGTTCTACTGCCTCGCTCGCAAGCGACCTCGGCAGAGTGAGGTTAAATATTTTCTTATAGAAAACTTTATATCTTTATAAAGATATAAAAGGAACGGTTTCATCTCAAATCGCCGAGGTCGCTTGCGGGCGAGGCGCTAGTTTTGATAAATCATCACGAAATAGTCAGATCTAGGAAGTTCTACTGCCTCGCCCGCAAGCGACCTCGGCAGAATGAGGTTAAATGTTATCTTATAGGAAACTTTATATCTTTATAGAGATATAAAACGATTTCGCCTCAAATCCCCGAGGTCGCTTGCGGGCGAGGCGCTGCTTTTGATAAATCATCACGAAATAGTCAGCTCTAGAAAGTTCTACTGCCTCGCCCGCAAGCGACCTTGGCAGAATGAGGTTAAATGTTTTTTAAGGAAAACTTTATATCTTTATAAAGATATAAAAGGAACGATTTCGTCTCAAATCGCCGAGGTCGCTTGCGGGCGAGGCGCTACTTTTGATAAATCATCACGTAATAGTCAGCTCCAAAAAGTTCTACTGCCTCGCCCGCAAGCGACCTCGGCAGAGTGACGTTAAATGTTTTTTTATGGAAAACTATATCTTTATAAAGATATAAAAGGAACGATTTCGTCTCAAATTGCCAACGTCGCTTGCGGGCGAGGCGCTGCTTTTGATAAATCATCACGCAATAGTCAGCTCCAAAAAGTTCTACTGCCTCGTCCGCAAGCGACCTCGGCAGAGTGACGTTAAATGTTTTTTTATGGAAAACTTTATATCTTTATAAAGATATAAAAGGAACGATTTCGTCTCAAATCGCCGAGGTCGCTTGCGGGCGAGGCGCTAGTTTTGATATATCATCACGTAATAATCAGCTCCAAAAAGTTCTACTGCCTCGTCCGCAAGCGACCTCGGCAGAGTGACGTTAAATGTTTTTTAAGGAAAACTTTATATCTTTATAAAGATATAAAAGGAACGATTTCGTCTCAAATCGCCGAGGTCGCTTGCGGGCGAAGCGCTAGTTTTGATATATCAACACGAAATAGTCAACTTTGGGGATTGTAGTGCCTCGCTCACAAGCTTCCTCGGCGATTTGATGATAAACGTTTTCTTATAGGAGCCTTTATATCTTTGCCAAGATTGGATAATGTATGATTTCTCCTCAATCCGCTGAGGTTGCATGCAGGGGAGGCGTTAAAATGCTTGAAAACTGACGGTTTTGTGTTGATACATCAAAATCAGTGCCTCGCCCATATTGTCATTCAGCGCTAGATTGTTGTATATTTTTATTGAAGTTGTTGAAAGGTTAAATACATATACGTATTAGAAAAGTATATTTCTAATTTTTTTCTTTAGAGCTGAAATTCAACTAATTTTTCTCTATCTCGAAGTTTTCTTCCGCTCCCTTAGCGATTTGAAAATAATCATCAAAAAACCATGTAACAGCTATAAGTGGTAACCATAGAAATTATTGTAATTATTTTTTGTATAAATTAAAAATTTTGACTTGGACAGTAGATTTTTGGAAACCAAACGATAAGAACTTCGTTAAAAAAATTTCAGTGCATTATTTCAATAAAAAAAAATAAAACAGGAGACTCAAGGGACTCCTGCGTTAGTTTCCTGGAAGAACGGGTTTGACTGCAAGCGTAGTTATGCGTTATATAAAACTGGATGAATCACAACTCACCCCTCTTTTTAAATTGAGTTGGAAAACATTGTACAGGACGACCAGGAGGACCCTAAAAAGTAAACTTGGAGCGACAAGTCATCATCACTACCACCACCAACAACAACAACACCGCTACCCTAAACATATGTGGGATTTTATAAGGAAAAATAGCGATTTTCAAGAATACCCTACAGATAAAATCAAATCGATCGAAGAAACGAGACTTTCAAATTCAAATTTCCCAAAAACGCCACAAAAACCGGGAAATAATTACACAATTAATATTTACTACAACGACCCGAAAAAAATGAAGAAAAACGAGATAGTACCAAAAGGAAAAGATGAACTCCTTCACGAATTAGGAGGTACAATGGAAGAGGGTCAATACGATGAGACGTTAAGACAAGTGCTTTTATTGCATCTATTGAAAGAACATCGATCCGTTTTAGAAAGGAATTTCAAAAAGTTTTTAGACAACGATTTAAAAGATATGAATCCAAATAAAGTCACGTTACTCAAAAATTATCTCGAAGAAAAATCGACGACGCAACAAAAACAACTACAAGAAAAACAACTCCAACAAGAACCATCTCCAGAGTATGTTTTAAATGCCCTTCGAAGCTCAACAGAACAAAAAAAGATGGCTTTCGTCCGAGAAGCTTTAGAACTTTGCGATAAAATCATCGAAGAATCAAACTTAGAAGAAGATGAAACATTAAAAACCCATGATGCATCACAACCAGTTGAAACGAGCGGTTCAATAAAAGAATATCAACCAAAATTAAAAGGGGAAATTGTAGATTTCGAAACCAATCAAGAAATACAAGAAAGAAACTATCATTTTAAAAAACTCGAAGTCGAGGCGGAAGATGTTGACGAAAATGACGCGTTTAGAAAAATCGTCGAAGAGGATAAAAAGGAAATCAAATGTAGCAAAGAATTTGAAACGGACGCAAATTTGGGTGCTTCAAAAGAATCGATGACGAAGAGTGCGAAGACGCCAACATCGTCTTCGTCGTCTTCGGCTTGAACGGCAACAACCAAAGCGGCGTCGTGTAAGTGGAAAAAGAAATAGTAACGAACGGATTCCGGGCGAAAGAAACGGGGTATAATTGCCGCGGAAGAATCTTCGTAATGCAGCCGCGTCGTGGCATTTTCGTTTCGACGTCGTCGTCGCGGTCTCGGTTCTAAGAATCGCGCGCGCCTAAGAGAACCGGAGAGGACACGTCTATGTCTCTCGGTGATATACCCGTTTTTCTTCTTAATTCGCAAAGAATTACGTTAGAGATAAAAGTTGATTTTATTTTTTTTTATTTTTTCTTTTTTATAAGAATAAAAAAGAAAATTGATTTAACCTAAGCTGTTTTTTCATCAAATCATTATTTAATTACAATACGAAACGCAAAAAAATAAAGAAATTACAAAAACAGAGATAAAGAAATAAATTATCACCTTATTAAGCCGAGGTGATACATTTGATACCGCATAAAAACAGCATAATGTAGTGAATCGGCTTAATTGATAACAGAGAATGAGATTAAGCCGAGGTTGCTTGGTGTCGAGGCGCTACATTGCTTGTTAACCATCTTAATATGGTATTAATTATAGCACTTAGGGGAGTTTCAACCATTCGAAAAAGATGGTGCTGGTGTGTGTTCCAGACAGGACGTCGCGCCTTTATTTCTTTATGTAGGTGAAATAAAGGCGCGACGTTCTGTTTGGAACGTACTATCGTTTCCAATTATGGATCATGGCTTATTTCTCTTTCTTTTTAATTCATAATTCGCCTAAATCGCTCTAAAAAATTAGGAAAACATAACTTTGATAAATATATAATATATATCCTATTAATCTCGACTTAAATCTACAATGTATATTGATGTGGCTGAAGTTAGATTCATATTCGAATCTGTACCAGATTCAGATTCATAAAATTACAGTTGACCAGACAAGTATTGAACATATCAATTGAAAAATCGTTTTCTGAAACTACAGAAGTTGTAGCAATCTGCGACTACCCTGGATAATTCGAATAGACCCTCTAGTATGTTCCCTGTCTATCCTCACCCTCAGATTTGCCGTAGGGGCCGAGCGGTTCACCGTTTTCAATAGCATACTTAGATATTATTTTCTCAATAACTAGAGACTGCAGCACCCTGGGACTAGTTCAGATTATTGCATTAGGTCCTCTGGTATCTTTCTAGCCCACCAGCACCCCCAGATTTGCCGTAGGGGCCGAGGGGTGAATTTTTTAATATTACTCGTTTTCAATATCAAAT